TCTGGGAGTGGTCCAAAGTCATGTTCTCTGATGAAAGAAAAATTTTGCATTTCCTTTGGAAATAAAAGGTCCCAGAGTCTGGAGGAAAAGAAGAGAGGCACTTCACCCACGTTGTTTGAAGTCCAGTGTAAAGTTTCCACAGTCAGTGATGGTTTGGGGTTGCCATGTCATCTGCGGGTTTGTTGGTCCATTGTGTTTTCTGAGGTCCAGGGGTCAAAAACGCAGCCACATACCAGGAAGTTTTTAGAGCACTTCATGCTTCCTGCAGCTGACCAAACTTTTTGGAGATGCAGATTTCATTTTCCAAACAGGGACTTGCACCTGCACACAGTCCCAAAGCTACCAGTACCTGGTTGAAGGACCATGGTATCCCTTTTTCTTAATTGGCCAGCAAACTCTCCTGACCTTAACCCCATAGAAAATCTATGGGGTATTGTGAAGAAGAAGATGCAATACACCAGACCCAACAATTCAGAAGAGCTAAAAGCAACTATTAGAGCAACCTGGGCTATCATAACACCTGAGCAGTGCCACAGACTGATCGACTCCATGCCACGCCGCATTGCTGCAGTAATACAGGCCAAAGGAGGCCCAACTAAATACTGAGTGCTGTACATGCTCATACTTTTCATGTTCATACTTTTCAGTTGGCCAACATTTCTATAAATCCTTTGTTTTTATTGGTCTTCAGTAATATTCTAATTTTCTGATATGATGAATTTGAGATTTTCATTTGTTGTCATTTGTAATCATCAAAATTAAACAAAATAAACATCTGAAATATATGAGTTTGTATGTAATGTATGAATATAATATACAAGTTTCACTTTTTAAATGGAATTACTGAAATCAATCTACTTTTTCATGATATTCTAATTTTATGACCAGCACCTGTATTTCTGTATTTATTTTTAAATATGGCAGAGTTGGTCCTCCATATATGACAGCCTGATGTTTAAGCAGTTTGCTGTTCAGAATAAATAAATAAGGTCATTATTGCAAAGGCAAATAAATAAAGAAACTAGTTAAAACAGATAAATACATTTAGGCTATGCGTCTGTGTATAATTAAATTTTTACCTACATTTATTTGTTTATTATATTTTGGGGGCAATTAATTGTATGTTTATTTATTTATTTATTGGGCATTTATTTATTTCTATTTTTATATTTAAATATGGTAAATATGGTAAACTTCCATTACTGCACAGCTTGATCTGATCATTTGAAAAATATCAGCTCTGTTGTTTATTTCAGTTTAATGACGTCTTGTGCCTCCGAGCGTCTGACGTCAGCTCGCTCTTGTTTTACCGTAACCATGGTAACCGGAGCTCGGTCCGTTGTGGGAACGGTTGAGTTGGGACTGAGAGTTAAAGCCAGAGAGAAGAGAAGCTGCGGAGATGCTGCTCAGCGGGAGGAGGAGGCCGAGATGTCGGGAGATTCCAGGCCCGACGCCGCATTCAGTGGCTGTGGTGAGAAACCTTCTTCTGTCCTCTCTGGGTGCTGGGAGCACCAAGATGGCGGCTGATACAGATACAGTTACGATCCTGGATGGTCCAAAAGCGAGCCCATATATATATTTATTTAATGTTTTCCTTTTGTTGAAAAATATTTATGTTTATAGACAGTTTAGAAACAGATACATTTTAGTGCATTACTTAGAAAGAGCTGAAACCGATGTTAACAGCAATTATCATAAAACCCTAGTTTATCCATCCATCATCCATCATCCATCCATCCATCCATCATCCATCCATCATCCATCCATCCATCCATCCATCCATCCATCCATCCATCCATCCATCCATCCATCCATCCATCCATCCATCCATCCATCATCCATCCAAAATCCATCCATCCATCCATCCATCCATCCATCCATCATCCATCATCCACCCATCCATCATCCATCCAACATCCATCCAACATCCATCCATCCATCCATCCATCCATCCATCCATCATCCATCCAACATCCATCCAACATCCATCCATCCATCCATCCCATCATCCATCCATCCATCCATCATCCATCCATCCATCATCCATCCAACATCCATCCAACATCCATCCATCCATCCATCCATCCATCCATCCATCATCCATCCAACATCCATCCAACATCCATCCATCCATCCATCATCCATCATCCATCCATCCATCATCCATCCATCCATCCATCCATCCATCCATCATCCATCCATCCATCATCCATCCATCCATCCATCCATCATCCATCCATCCATCCATCCATCATCCATCATCCATCCATCCATCCATCCATCATCCATCATCCATCCAAAATCCATCCATCCATCCATCATCCATCCATCCATCCATCCATCCATCCATCCATCCATCATCATCCATCCATCCATCCATCATCCATCCATCCATCCATCCATCCATCCATCCATCCATCATCCATCCATCCATCCATCCATCCATCCATCCATCCATCCATCCATCATCCATCATCCATCCAAAATCCATCCATCCATCCATCATCCATCCATCCATCCATCCATCCATCCATCCATCATCCATCCATCCATCATCCATCCAACATCCATCCATCCATCCATCCATCCATCCATCCATCATCCATCCAACATCCATCCAACATCCATCCATCCATCCATCCATCCATCCATCATCCATCCAACATCCATCCAACATCCATCCATCCATCCATCATCCATCATCCATCCATCCATCCATCCATCCATCCATCCATCCATCCATCCATCATCCATCCATCCATCCATCCATCCATCCATCATCCATCCATCCATCCATCCATCCATCCATCCATCCATCCATCATCCATCCATCCATCCATCCATCCATCCATCCATCCATCCATCATCCATCCATCCATCCATCCATCCATCATCCATCATCCATCCAAAATCCATCCATCCATCCATCCATCCATCCATCCATCCATCCATCCATCATCCATCCATCCATCATCCATCCATCCATTCATCCATCATCCATCCATCCATCCATCCATCCATCCATCCATCCATCCATCCATCCATCCATCCATCCATCCATCCATCATCCATCCATCCATCCATCCATCCATCATCCATCCATCCATCCATCCATCATCCATCCATCCATCCATCCATCCATCCATCCATCCATCCATCATCCATCATCCATCCAAAATCCATCCATCCATCCATCCATCCATCCATCATCCATCATCCATCCATCCATCATCCATCCAACATCCATCCAACATCCATCCATCCATCCATCCATCCATCATCCATCCAACATCCATCCAACATCCATCCATCCATCCATCATCCATCATCCATCCATCCATCCATCATCCATCCATCCATCATCCATCCAACATCCATCCAACATCCATCCATCCATCCATCCATCCATCCATCCATCCATCATCCATCCAACATCCATCCAACATCCATCCATCCATCCATCATCCATCATCCATCCATCCATCATCCATCCATCCATCCATCCATCCATCCATCCATCCATCCATCATCCATCCATCCATCATCCATCCATCCATCCATCCATCATCCATCCATCCATCCATCCATCATCCATCATCCATCCATCCATCCATCCATCATCCATCATCCATCCAAAATCCATCCATCCATCCATCATCCATCCATCCATCCATCCATCCATCCATCCATCCATCCATCATCCATCCATCCATCCATCATCCATCCATCCATCCATCCATCCATCCATCCATCATCCATCCATCCATCCATCCATCCATCCATCCATCCATCATCCATCATCCATCATCCATCCAAAATCCATCCATCCATCCACCATCCATCATCCATCATCCATCCAAAATCCATCCATCCATCCATCATCCATCCATCCATCATCCATCATCCATCATCCATCCAAAATCCATCCATCCATCCACCATCCATCATCCATCATCCATCCAAAATCCATCCATCCATCCATCATCCATCCATCCATCCATCCATCCATCCATCATCCATCCATCCATCATCCATCCAACATCCATCCATCCATCCATCCATCCATCCATCCATCATCCATCCAACATCCATCCAACATCCATCCATCCATCCATCCATCCATCCATCATCCATCCAACATCCATCCAACATCCATCCATCCATCCATCATCCATCATCCATCCATCCATCCATCCATCCATCCATCCATCCATCCATCCATCCATCCATCATCCATCATCCATCCATCCATCCATCCATCCATCCATCATCCATCCATCCATCCATCCATCCATCCATCCATCCATCCATCCATCCATCATCCATCATCCATCCATCCATCCATCCATCCATCCATCATCCATCCATCCATCCATCCATCCATCCATCCATCCATCCATCCATCCATCCATCTTTATTCTCCTGGATCGTCTCTCTCTTTCTCAGATAGCCAGGCAACCTTCATTCCAGTCTACACGCCACCTGATCCAGAAGAGACGGAGACAGCAGGAGACCAGAGGCCAGGTTCTGGAGTTATGCAGAGACCTTCAGAACTGTGACATGAAAGCCTCATGGCTGCAGAGCTCCGAGCGTCGCTTCATCAGAGGCGCCGTGGGGAGGCGGGTCCAGGCGGAGCTGCAGCATCATGAGGCCGACATCAGCGAGAGGAGACGGAGGTCTCAGATCTTGGTTACTCCACAGGAACCGGTGCTGTTCAGCTGGTTCGGTCCATGATGCATCCTCTGCTGTGTGTCCCTCAGGCTCAGGCAGCTGCTGGACAATGAGGAGAAGCAGCTCCTGCAGGAGCTGGAGGAGACCAAGGAGACGACGGAGGAGAGACATGCGAGGATGAGGGAGGAAGCGAAGGCCCTGAAGGAGAAGAGAGAGAGCGAGAGACAGCAGCTGGTTTCTGAGAAACTGGACCAGTTGTTCCAGTAAGAACCCAGAAAATCCCACAGAATCAAGTCGTTCCTCTCATCAGTCAGGAGTTATTCTCTAAAAGCAGCAGCGGACCGGGACCATCAAAGAGTTCTAGAGAGTTCTCTCTTCCAAAGGCCCGTTATCTGAAGGCCCCTGACCTGATGGTTCTGATAGCTGCCAAAGGTTTCCCTTCCCCAAAAGCGGTAATTTCAGACGCAGCGGATAGTCCCTTAGTCTGCAAACATTAGTGGAAGCAGGGGCGGATTTAGGAAATGTGGGGCCCTAGGCAAAGACAGGCAGGGGGCCCCTGAATAGAGAAGACAACACATCAAACAGCCCCATTCTCCAGATAGAGAAATGTTAATAGAATAGACATCCATTATCTGTTCTAGGTTGTGTCCCTCTCTTCTTGTCCCTTTTCTTCTTGTTTTCCTCTCTATGTTTTGTACTCAGCTGACTTTTCATGCTGTCTCTAAAGGAATGAAAGATTTTCTCCAAGCACTAAGCTCACTTAGCTGATTGCTCCTTCCTGTGTTTCCAAAAAGGCCAAAGTAAATAACCCAGTCCTTCTTTTCACTGTAGACAAGCCATGATCTGCTTATCTGTTCTCCATTTTTCATTTGGATGAAATAATAGCTGCATGAATCATGACAGCAGACAAGATAGAGGAGAGCAGGAGGCGGGGTTACCAATCTACTCGCTCTGGAGAGCAGAGTTCGCTGCTTTTAGATGTTGTCTCCAAAGTCTCCAGTAGCAGAAAAAATAGTTTTATGAGGCCCCCAAGAACTTGGGGCCCTTGGCAATAAGTTGCCTAGGCGATATTCAGAATTCAAACTTCTAAAAGTACTTTAAATATGAAATGGCCAGAAGTTCGATGGCAAATCCTCCCTCTTCAAGTTGGCGATCCAACGACCAACCCGTCCGTGGAGGATCAGGAATCAGAAAGGTGGAATAACTCTTTATTTCCACTTTTACCCGATGTATTCCAGCATCCAGCTGCCATGCACGTGGGCATTGTCAGTTTCACTATAGCTCTGGTGAATTTCAATGGTGAAGTCTTCTGGAAATCTTCAATAATTGTTGTTGATTGCAGATGTGTCTAGTAGTTCCCATTGATTTAGCTTGTAAAGCGGGGAGAATGGCGCTAGGCTTACCGCACCGTGACGTCACTGCTGGAAGATGGCAGGAGGGAGGGGCTACTATATTTGGGCAAAGATGGCCGCTCCCAGACTCAGTGATCGCAATGAAAATTATTATTTTGTTACTGTTTAATTTCACTGCGAACGTATTAGTTTTAGGATAAATAATGATCATTGATTATTCCTTGCTGAAGAGACTTTTCCTTTAATTAAAATACAGTAATCAAGTAAATATATTTTATTATTTTCCACCCCTGTAGCTTGTTAGCCTCGTGAGACCATCCTGATCTCGCGAGCTTTCAATGTTTCACTCGCAGATCAGTCTGGAGACTCTCCGTTAAAAAATTTTTGGAGCCGTTCACCAAACGAACGTCCAATCAGCGTTGGCTTTGAGGCGCAACAGTTCAGTCTAAAGAACATGGCGGCTTCAGCCGATGAAACTAGCGTTAGCGTGGCTATCAAGCAAGTTTTATGGGAATTACAGAGTATTTCTTCACTGAAAGAAGAGCAAAACACTGCTCTGGAGGCTTTTCTCAGAGGAAAAGATGTTTTTGCTCTTCTCCCGACTGGTTTCAGCAAGAGTTTGATCTATCAATTGGCTCCTCTTCGTCGTCGCTCTGTTAGTACGTCATATGCTTCGTTGATCTGATTGGTTTATTTGGCCCGTCTATCACCAACATAGGCTAATCAGCTAACCAGTATTTTCGCCCCTTCCCAAAATTACTTCAACGGAAGGTTTCCAGATGGATATGCGGAGCAAATCCATCTGGCGGAGTCAGGTTAGAACCTTGTGACCAATGGGAGGAACCAAACCCCCCACTTTGAGACCCGCTGCTGTAGACATAATCTGGCGACGCTGTCAAACCTTCAGCAGGCCCGTTCTCTACCTGCTAATGGTCCTGATACTTTCATCATCAGATGGATCCATTTTGAGGAAGTCCAGCTTGGTTCTGGAGTTTAGAACCTGCAGCGTCTATCAGAACTAATTCTGTTCTGGTCTTATCAGACAGAACTGCTCATCCTACTGGGTCCAACCTTTAGTTATTGAAGCGGTTCTGGGCTTCTTAGAATGGACCCTGTTCTGTAGGTCAGGTAGAACTTTTTCAAGGATGATTGTTCTGTTGATGGACTCACTGCCGACTCTTTTACCCAGAGGACATCTGGGTCCACTCAGCCTAAAGGCTCCCCAGGTTCTTCATGTTGGTTTTCTGCTCCGCCTCCAGGGAGCGATGCGAGGAGCTGCGCAGCATCCGGAGCCGGCGCCTCAAGCAGGAGTTGTGTCAGGATAATGCAGCTCTGGTGAGGAGGCAACAGGAGGAGCGGCGGTGGCTGCAGGAGGAGCAGCGGCTGTTCGACGAGCTGTGGGAGGCCGACTACCAGGCCAAGGGAGAACAGGAGAGCTTGAGAGTCCGACAGCGACAGCAGAAAGACGAGGAGCAGCTGCAGGAGCTGAGGGAGCAGATGAAGGCTGCAGAACAGAGGAGGCAGCAGGAGAAGGAGCTGAGGGAGGAGAAGCAACGACTTCTGGTAAGACCCGCCGCTTCACGCTCCTCCCGTGTTTCTATTTAAACTGACCTCCGTCCTGCGTTATCGTCCAGCTGCAGCAGGAGCAGACGAGGCTCCTCCAGGAGGAGCGGCAGCGGCAGCTGAAGCTGCAGCAGCAGCAGAACCGGCGCCGGCAGCTGGACCGAGACCTGAGGCTCAAAATGAAGCGCCTGGCGCAGGAGCAGCAGGAGGAGCTGCAGCTGGACTTGAAGATCCTGCAGCCGATCCAGAAGGAGGAGACTGAACAGAGGCAGGAGTCAGCTCAGAGGAAGGTAACCCGAACATCTGGAGAACATCTGCAGACGGTTCCGCTCCGGTCCGCTGACGCCCGGTTTGTGTTCAGGCGGAGCTGCAGGAGGAGCAGAAGCAGTACCTGAAGTACCTGTCTGAGGAGCTGGAGAGGCAGAGGAGAGAGGAGCAGGAGACGGAGCTGCTGCAGGAGGAGAAGCTGAAGGAGATCTGGATGAAACGGGAGGAGCAGAGCCGGCTGCAGAGAGAGGCCAGAGAGCGGCAGATGGAGGAGGTGATGGAGGCGCGCCGCCTGCAGATCCAGAGCAAACGTAAGACACCTTCACTGCATCACTGCAGAACATTCCTCCATGATGCTTCCTTCATATTTCCTTCTCTCTTCTCTACAGTGGATGCAAACCTGCAGAAACAGGAGCAGCTGGAGAAGGAGAAGGAGGAGATGGAGAGAGAGGCACAGGAGGCCAGCCTGCAGCAGGAGGAGGAGAGAAGAAGGTAACGGCCATGTTGGTTCTAATCAGAGAACAATATTCAGTCCAACACTTTAAATGAGACACATGGAGCTTCATCCGCCCCCAAAAATAAAACATTAAAAAACTGCATGAGTTGAGATCATCAACCTGACTTAAATAAAGTACAGTGGAATAGAAAAGAAATGAATACAATAGAATAATACTGAATTAAAACAAATAAAATCAAAGCAGATTTTAATTGCTTACAATAAAATAGAAAAGAATAGAATCGATAAAAATAATTAGGAACAGGAAGTCCACAGGATGTTCTCCAGACTTTTCTTGCTGCTCCAGCTCATCGGACGATCAATGGGCCAATGAGGGAGCTGTCCTCTGAGAACATCAGACGTTTGATGGACTGATGACTGGAAGTGCAGCTGCTGGTGTAGCAGAAAGAAAAGAGCTCAGTCTTAAGGTGAACCGTTGCTGATGGTCCTGGAATCAGAGGTCGGTTATTCCAGCTTTACACGCTACTTCCTGTCCGTCGGGATGTAGATCAGGAAGCAATCCTCCTACAGATGGATCCCATTAGTGGTTTACTGACTGTTGCTAAACTTCATGGTATTGCTGCAGCCAAAGGGCTCAGCATTATTAAAAACAAGAGGACTGAACACACAACCCTGAGGAACACCAACAAAATGAAGCAGACATGTTTTTACTGGATGAAATGCTGAAAGGTTGTCAGTAAAGACCTGATGTTGAATTAAAATCAGGCTGTTTCTCAATTCAATTTGAACGCGTGTACAGACTCGTGTCCTCGCCAAGTATGTTCCAGAGAAGAACACAGGAAAGTCTTGACAGGAAGAATGGGAGCATGCAGCATCTGGGTCAATTGGAACAGGAGCGTACTGATGACATCACCACACACTCGCACAGATAAAAATGACATTTTGCCAAATAAAACAAAAAATTTGCCCTCAGAGCCAGCGGTTTTTCACACGGGGCTATGGCGAGAGAGAGCTGCTGCAGACGGGCTTATGTTAGCCCGGGCTGTAGCAGACGGGCTTATGTTAGCCCGGGCTGTAGCAGACGGGCTTATGTTAGCCCGGGCTGTAGCAGACGGGCTAACGTTGGCCCTGACTGTTGCAGAAGGGCTAACGTTAGCCCTGGCTGTTGCAGAAGGGCTAACGTTAGCCCTGGCTGTTGCAGAAGGGCTAACGTTAGCCCTGGCTGCTGCAGACGGGCTAATGTTGGCCCTGGCTGTAGCAGACGGGCTTATGTTAGCCCGGGCTGTAGCAGACGGGCTAACGTTGGCCCTGACTGTTGCAGAAGGGCTAACGTTAGCCCTGGCTGTTGCAGAAGGGCTAACGTTAGCCCTGGCTGTTGCAGACGGGCTTATGTTAGCCCGGGCTGTAGCAGACGGGCTAACGTTGGCCCTGACTGTTGCAGAAGGGCTAACGTTAGCCCTGGCTGTTGCAGACGGGCTAATGTTGGCCCTGGAGTGCTCACCTAGAAGCTGCTGCTGCTGCAGTGCATGCTGGGACAGCTGTCAGTCTGGAGAATTGACAAGTCTGTTCTGATGCATGCTGGGTAAAAAGGGAGCTGCGGGAACAGGGACTTTGCCCGTCATTGGTCTGCTGTTTTTGTGATTTGGAACAGTTCTAGGGCTGAGGATGATGATGTTTAACGAGGACATGAGAACTCACAAGTACAAAGATTGAGAAACGGCCTCAATGTTTTCAGTCAGTCAGTTTCTTTCTCTTTGTAACTCCGCCCTCTCTGCACAGGCGCAGGCAGGCAGCAGCCGCGTATGAGGCAGACCTGCAAGCTCAGATGCAGCATCAGGAGCGTCTTCGCAGCGAGCAGCAGGCTGAGACCCTCAGAGAGCATCAGCATGAACTGATCCGGGAGCAGCTCTACAGAGACAAGAGAAACAGCCTCCTGGACAAAATGGATGGCAGCTGCCATCCTTTCAGACGGCTGAGGTCAGCAGAGATGAAATGAGGATCTCCAAGTTTTACCTAATAACTGAATCTGCAGAACAGACCTGTAATAAAACCTTATATAAGTCCACTCTGAGTCCCGCTCAGTTCTTCCAGGTTCAGATCTACAGCGTGTTTTAAATCTGGAGCTGGTAGGAGCTCAGGAGAAAATCAGTAAACCTGCAAGTTTTTTCCAGTTTTTATTTTCATTACACCGTCACAAGTACAGAGCAACAAGATGAACTCTGCATTTAACCCATCCTCTTAGGGAGCAGTAGGCTGCCATCATGCGGCACCCAGGGAGCAGTGTGGGGTTAAGGGAACCTCTGGATTCCAAGCTCTATGCCCTAAACACTAGGCTGCCACTAGTGAGGCGCTCCCAGACTCAGTGATGTCACCAAAAATAGTTTTAATTTTTCTACTGGATAACGCTAAATTCATTAAATCACAGCAAACATATTAGTTTTAGGTATAAATAATGATCCATTGATTATTCCTTGCTGACTGGACTTTTCCTTTAAAGACGCCGTCCAACGCAGATTCACATCTGGAGGAGATTTCTATGATGAGAGTCTGTAGTTCTGATTCATAAAGATCTAAATGATTCGTCTTCATGCAGATAGAGAGGCGGCCATGAGGCAGATGGAGGATTGGTGAACCTATCAGAGGATTTTAATCATTTAGGATTAAATGTTAAACAGATCATTTGAAGTTATACGTGTGTTTGACGGAGCTTCTGTTTGAGACTCAAGGTCTCTTTATGTTTATAACATATCCCTATGGAGAGATCCAAAATAATGAAAAAACAGTGTTCTAAAAATAAATATTTATTTATGGTGACTAGTATTTTAGAGAAATTTTAATTTCACTACCCTTTTTTTAATTTACATCTGTTAATAGAATTAAAACCTTAAATAAAAGGTCTACAGAGAAGAAGTTCTGGTGATTTTTCCCTCAGCTGGTCCGGATGGAGCTTTATTTACCTCCATTCAGGTTTGATCAGCCGCAGACTCCCGGTCCGGGCCACCAGGGGGCGCCAGAGGCTCTCAGGAAAATATTTATTTTTCTTTGACAAAATATATCTTTAACAAAGGTGTCAAAAGTATTCATGTTTATTCCTCCTATATAAATCGTACTCTTTAAAAACGCTTTTATAGAAGGTTTAGAATCAACTTCAGCTTTTTACTCCAGTAAAAGTGTAAAAGTAGCATTTTTAAAACAACCTAAAGTATAAAAGTAAAAGTAATTGAAGAAAAACTGTTAAGGACAGAATCTTTACTGCTCTACCCTATTAAATGAAAATTTTTCTACAATTCTGGATGATAACTTCCTTAGAGTTCATTTTCTTAGTTTTATAACTAATGGTAACATTTAACTTTGCATCATCTTGAAAAACGATTTATTTTGCTATATGGTGAGCAACAAGTTGGGGCAGCACCGAGTCCAACCACAGAGAAATTAATTGTCAGGATGAAACAAATAATTTGGATGGTTTTGTTTTTTAAACCAACAGCTCATAAAGAAAATGAACTTAAATGAGAAAAAAAAACAACTAACTAAATGTAAGGAGTACAAAGTAGAGATAATTGGAAAAAAAAGCAGTAGAGCAGAAAAGTAATTCCTCCAGTAAAGTATAGATGCCAATATTTCTACTTTAGTAAGAGAACAAACTATGTTTTAAACCAACAGCCCATAAAGAAAACTAACTTAAATGAAACAAAACTAACTAAATGTTAGGGGAGTAGAAAGTAAAGATAATTGGAAAAAAAGCAGTAGAGCAGAAAAATAATTCCTCCAGTAAAGTACAGATGCCAATATTTTTACTTAAGTAAGGAAACAAAGTATTTGGGCTTTCTTATTTAAAACCTCTGGTTTTTAATTATGGTTAAACCCAACTATAACCTAATAATAATAATTTAATGCTCCCTCTATCTCAGGATGGCTGAGTAACAAAAGATGTTTTTATGTTTTGCTCTAATATTGTGAGTCTAAACTGAACCTGGAGCCCTTTAACTGTGGACATGCATTTAAGATATTTCATGGTTTGTTTTAGTTTTATCAAGAACGGTGACAAAGTTTGTAATGAAACGGAAATATAACAAAACATTTTAAATTAAAGACATGCTAGTTAATATTCTTATGCTGTAATAATTGAAAAAAAACTTCTGAAGATGAATTTTCTTTCCATATTTTGTAAAATGATCTGTTAGTTTTCAAAGGTCGCAGATGTTTGCAGACGCCTATCCTCCATGACCACTAGATGTCGCTGGTTGCTTTAAAAGAGCAGAGCTGTTTCAGATCCAGACAGGCTGGCTGCTCTGGGATCATTTCTGCAGTTTCTTCATAATAACCTTTACTCTGACTGATTGGGTCTGTAGCCTGAGGGAGACCCGCACAGGTGAGTCAGCAGCTCAGACAGGTGAGCTGCATGATAACACTTCAGCTGACAGAGGAGATCCACAAAGCATGAGACTTTTACAGTGAAAGGGTGGTGACGTCAGATCAGCTGATAGAAACCTGTTCAACAGAACTCTTCATCACATCATCATCACTGATAGAGCCGGTTTGATGTGGTCTGGAACCAGCAAACATCATCTTTGTTCTCCTCTTATGGCTGGTGTTTGCGTCATGGACGCCTCAACACATCTGCGGGCACATGTAGAGGCCCAAACATCCAGAACCAGCCTGATTGGTCAGTTTATAGCCAGAGCGGGAATAAAACAACAAACAAACATATTTCTCTATAGTTATGCTGCTATAGGCTTAGACTGCTGGAGGACATAGGGATCCCTTTTTCATCATTCCGCTTCATTCTATCTCTATTCTCCCACTCTGCAGAATCTGTTAGTTCTACTCTCTCTGCTTTTATATCCTGGAGAGAAATATCAGCTGTGCTGTTGCCATCAACACCTTTGTTTCTAGATGTTGGAGCTTGGCCTGTTTTCCAGTGTAGTCCTGTTTCTCTGACTGGGACTAACTGGATGTGCTCTCTTCATCCTCTGACATGGGAGCTGGCTCGGAGCTCGTCTGCCTGGCTGTGTGTTTCCTGGACGGGGCCGCCTTTTACAGCTGATTTTTGTAACTATTCCTCTTTTTCTATGTCTGCTTCTGTCATGCTTAGTTGGAGGGATTGCCTTTGAGTCAATGAGTCGCTGCAATCAGCTGGTTTTCCTTAGATAGAGAACTTTGAGTCAATCTGACTGGATGATTTGGTTGAATTGTCTCTGTAAAGTGACTTGAAATGACGTGTTGTGAATTGGCGCTACATAAATAAATGGAATTGAATCATGAGTCGTAAATATGGTTTAAAAAATGTCATCAAATATGTCTGTGTCTGAACTTTTAAAATGTGAACAAAATTTGAGAAACTGTTCCACTCCTCTCCAGTTGGTGGCGATGATGCACCTGATAATGAACATGGTTCCCTGGATCAAAGGGACTTCTTCTCTGGTGAAGCTCTCCTGCTGCCATTATGGAGGAAGCTCTGCTCTGGTGGCACTGGGATTTCTCAGAAGGAGAAAAAAAATCTCTGTTATCCAGAAAACATTTCCCGATTCATCGCTTCAGTTTCCTGCATGCGGTGAGGCTCTGATGTTGCTTCTCTTTAGAGGAAACCTTTGGTCTGATTGGACAGGAATGAAATCTTGAAATGAATCACAGAATCCTGAGGAAACATCTAAAGAAGAAGCAGCAGTAAGGGTGAAGGCTGGCTTCATGGACCGTCCTGTGTCTGTGGAAGTGGGTGGATCTGCCTCCTGTGTCTGTGGCAGCGGGTGGATCCAACCACAGTGACGTGAGAAGGTTTGACTGATTCATTCACAGCTCTGTATGAACGGTCCGGCTGTCGATCCTTGTGTTGGGAAACTTTTCCAGGGAAAGTTTCACAACCATGTCAGCTCACCTGGAGACACAATAACAACAACAGTGGACTCAAAAAGGTTCTAACTGTTCTGAACTGGGTCCAAACGGGCCGGACTGCTGCTGCTGCAACAGAACCTGGATATAAACTCAGTTAACAGTGTGAGATCTGCAGAAAGTAGAGAATCATTGCTGGATTAAAAACTGGATGAAGACCAAAAGCATAATTTAGTGTTAAAACACTGAGCTGCTTTCATTAAAGCAGCATAAAACATTCTTTATATCAATCTGCCATTAGCTGTCTGGTTGCAAACAGAGTTTTCAACCCGCTGTTGTATGACTTGTTATTTATGCATTTTATATTTTGTTTTTGCTCAGTTTGTTTGTAGATAAAGTCCTTATATATATCCTAGTCCTTGTAAATTTACAATAAAAACAGAGTTACAATACTGAGCGTGTGAGCAGGGGGTAAACATGGAAGTAGCCTGCTGCCTACTAAATTAGTTGACGGATATTTCAGTAATTGTTTAATCACGATTAAACGGAATTGTTTCAGCCCTATTCGGAACATGTAGTGGATGAAAGTACCATTAGGCGAGGCAAGGCAGCTTTATTTGTATAGCACATTTCAGCAACAGGGCAATTCAAAGTGCTTTACATAAAATCTGTTAAAAAAATAAATAAAACACAGAAGAAAGAGTTAAAAATAAAAACAGAATAAAACACAAGAATAAAAATCACAGTGCAGTATAAGAGATTAAACAGTAAAGAAATGAACGCCATTTAGAGAAAGGCAACATCAAAAAGAAAAGGTCTTCAGCATTGATTTAAAAGAACTGAGAGTAGCAGCGGACCTGCAGGTTTCTGGGAGTTTATTCCAGATGTGAGGACCGTAGAAACTGAAAGCTGCTTCCCCCTGTTTAGTTCTGACCCTGGGAACAGAAAGGAGACCTGTCCCAGATGACCTTAGAGGTCTGGGGGGTCAGAAATGTGTTTAGGCCCTAAACCGTTTAGTGATTTATAAACTAGGAAAAGTTCTTTGAAATCAATTCTTTGAGACACAGGAAGCCAGTGTAAGGACTTCAGAACTGGAGTGATGTGATCCAGTCTCTTGGTCTTAGTGAGGACTCCAGCAGCAGCATTCTGAATCAGCTGCAGCTGCCTGATTTTTTTTTTTGGAGACCTGTAAAGACCCGGTTACAGTAGTCAAGTCTACTGAAGTCCTGTTTCCAAGTCCTGTTGACACATAAGTTCTTTAACCCTTGATATATTCTTAAGGTGATAATAGACTGACTTTGTAATTGTCTTTAAGATATACTAGGCAGTCGTCTAGGACTGTCTGCATATGTGGTTAATACTATTCCTTATTTGTGCACATTAATTGTGTTTTTGATAAAAATCCTTTGGCTAAAATGCCATCAGAACGCTGATAATATTAAGTGTGTCTCAGCCCCCCCCTTCAGTATCCACCATATTGGATCAGTCCATTTGCTGCATATGTTCAGAAAGGTCCAAACAGACAGCAGCAAACCATCTGAAAACAAACCATGCAAAGAGCAGTGTTGCCAACTTAGCGCTTTAGTCGCTATATTTAGCCACTTTTCAGACCCCTCTAGCACTTTGATTTCTAAAAAGCTCCTAGCGCCAAATCTAGAGACTTAAAGTACACCCAAAACATGATTAGCCTTAATTTTCTACTCACCCCCATGCTGAACAACACTCTGGAGTACTTTTTTGATATCTCAAATGCATCTGGAGATCTGGGAGGCTTCTTGCTGTCTGCTGACATTCAAATAATGGAGGTCTATGGCGCCCGAGGCAGAAAGGTCCATAAAAGTCCACAAAAAACGTGTCAATATTCCTCCATACTGCTCGTCCAATGTATTCCAAGTGTCCTGAGTGGGTAGCGTCCATAATTTACTCGAAACGAAGTCATTTAGAATGTTTTTAGAGCATAAACAGTAGTGTATAGGATTTCCTAAAAGCGCGTTCACGAGTCTACGGAAACCGCGGCAGACCAAACCAGATGAAAGTGCGCATTCAGCTCGGCAAAGAACTCATGCTCTTCCTCAACACTGAAGTCCGCAGAGCAGACGCTGAATGCGCACTTTCATCTGGTTTGGTCTGCCGCGGTTTCCGTAGACTCGTGAACGCGCTTTTAGGAAATCCTATACACTACTGTTTATGCTCTAAAAACATTCTAAATGACTTTGTTTCGAGTAAATTCTGGATGCTACCCACTCAGGACACTTGGAATACATTGGACGAGCAGTATGGAGGAATATTGACACGTTTTTTGTGGACTTTTATGGACCTTTCTGCCTCGGGCACCATAGACCTCCATTATTTGAATGTCAGCAGACAGCAAGAAGCCTCCCAGATCTCCAGATGCATTTGAGATATCAAAAAAGTACTCCAGAGTGTTGTTCAGCATGGGGGTGAGTAGAAAATGAAGGCTAATCATGTTTTGGGTGTACTATTCCTTTAAGGTTCTTTGCTCAGAGACCCAGAGTGGCAGTCTGTTGGAGTGGGGCTGGAACTCAGAACCTCAGGATTCCGAGCTCTATGCCGTAACCACTAGGCCGCGACTCCCATTATGCCCAGTGTTCTGTCTGATGAACAAACCCATAGTCAATACCCGTGTATCCCTTTAGTTTTTACCTTTATTTTTGTATGACAAATAAACTTTAAGCTACTTAAACGGGCGTGTATCCCTTTAGTTATGTACAAAAAATCTATTTAATGACTTAATTTTTGGTGTTTTTTTAAGCAATCTTCAATTGTTTGTTTTTTTTGTACATGACTAAAAGGATAAATGCCCATTGAAGTTGTTTAAAATCTATTTTTCATACAAAACTAAAGGGATAAACACAAATCTTATTGACTATAGTTATGCTGATCTGACAGAACATCGGTGCTGGAATTCTATTTAGGCTGAAAAAGGATTATCTAAACACTATGAAGGTAGATGCTGAGTGGATATAAGCCTATTTTATCAGGATTAAATTATTTGTTTCTTTACAAGAAGATAATTTGACTGAACACCTTTAACGATGCGGACGACCCGGGTTCGAATCCGACCTGTGGTCCTTTGCCGCATGTCTCTACCCCCTTTCCTGTCAGCCTTATGCACATAAAACGAGCCAGTAGTGCCATAAAAACTAAACTAAAATAAAAAAAGCAGTGGTTTGATTAAGTACCCAACCTCCCCAGACTATCGCTGCCCTCTGTTCCCCTATGATCCATCCGCTGCTCTGCTTTCGCTCACGTTTCCTGAAGGTTTAGGAAACGACCAATCAGCTCCCACATCAGAACCCTCTGACTGGTTTCTTTCAGTGGTCAGACTGTCCTCCAGTTTGGCCACATATATGATACCTGAAGCTGCTGCTGAATGAGTTCTGGTTCTGGACACAGATGCTGTGGTGAAGAAAATGTTCTGTGCTTCCAGAGTTTGGACCGATCTCACATCAGAACCTCTGATAGCCTGAATCGTTTCTTGAGGTGAGGAAGCTACAGAACCACAGAGTCCAGCTGACAGCCACCATTTTCACAAAACACTGATTTGTTTAAAAAAAAGAGTATTTTATTACAGTTTAATCAAAGCTTATTAGATTGTTTTCTGTTCCGCCTGTTTTTGCTTTTAGGTTAAAGGTTTAACATCCTTCACCTCGTTGCAGACTGATCCAGGCAATAAGTACCAGAGCTGGGTTTCATTTTGGAGCATCAAAGTCAACAGGATGTGTCCCCGGTTCTATGGACGGACAGCAGAGGCTCGTCTGTGAGGCCTGACAGAGGCAGGTGTGGGCGGGGCGGCGGGTAGACGGCTCATACCTGCAGCAGGAGTGGTTTGGGAGTGGACCCATTAGCTGGCGTAAGAATAATAGCTGAGCTCAGACAGGTCTGGGACTGAACCCGGCAGACGCCTGAATGCAGCACTGAGGAGGTTCTGGTGGGCCGGCAGGATGGCCTCTGATTATAACCCCTACTGTCAGGTAAGGAGCTGCAGGCCGGGAGGGGGGGGTCAAAGTTCACTTATCATCTCATTACACAAGCTGTCAGATAAGAACCGGGTCGCCTGAGCAGGTCCAACATTTAACTTCCTGCTGCTTCTAGTCTGACTGGACAGCTTCAGAGTTGTTCAGATGTTCTGGTTCTGGTTCTGGTTCTGGTTATGGATTTGGAAGAAAACATCAAATTTCCTGCGAGATGAATAATCTGTGGTGTTTCTGTGACAATCAGAGCAGAAGGTTTTTTTCTTCAATGACAAAGTTTGAGCAAAGCTAAAACTGGAAAACTGGCGCCTACATTTCCCAGAATCCAACTGGAAGCAGTCTGATGGTTTGATTGGGACCAGATTGTTTTCTGCTGACGTGTTGGAAAGTCTTTTTTTTGTTGTTTTTATGAGGATCAGCAGAGTGAGAACTCTCACTAGGATTCATAGATCTATATTTGGACGACCAAACAGGTTCATCCAGGTCAGACCTTCAGGCGGTGGAACTGGGTCTGTGAGATTTAGGGTTCCTGTGGTTCCATCTGTGATGGATCTGGGTTCATGAGCTCAGACTTGTTCTACTGCATCACTGATGGGTTCTGGCCTTCAGTTCCCATCAGACTCTGTTTAAGCTGCTGCAGCCTTAATGTCTGGTCCAGTTGGGATCACTTCACTGCCTGGCTGTGTGTTTCCTGGACGGGGCCGCCTGTGGAGCTGGTTGACAGTTGCCTTTTGTATCTATGCTTCTTTTTCTATGTCTGCTTCTGTCTCCTTGAACCCCAGTGGGCCTCAGCAGATGGCCGCTCACACTGAGCCTGGTTCTGCTGGAGGTTTCTTCCTGTTCAAAGGGAGTTTTTCCTCTCCACTGTCGCTACAAGCATGCTTAGTGTGAGGGATTGCTGAAGAGTCAATGAGTCGATGCAATCAGCTGGTTTTCCTTAGATAGAAAACTTTGATTGGATGACCTGGTGAACTGGAAAGTTCCTTAAGATGACGTGTTGTTAATTGGCGCTACAGAAATAAACTGAATTGAAGCTGAATTTAAATAAAGTTTTCTGACCTGGAAATGATTGAAAAGAGAAAGGTTGGAGATCTGAACCCGTCTGTCTGCACTGTTTATCTTCACCGTTTTCTCCCACAATAGCTCCGGTTCCGCCGCATTCCTTCTTTTGACTCTAATTGTTAAATTAACCACAAACTGATGCAGAGGAGTCGGAGCTGCTGAGGAGTCGTGAGAATTATTCACGGTGGCTTCCTGTTGCTGACAGGGCCCTCGCTCATGCCTGCCCTCCTACACACACACACACACCTCCAGTGTTCCTCACAGAAACAAGAAATGATCTACGGAGTGAACTTAGTTCCATTATTGTTGCAAAGAACACTTTTTGTAAATGGAGATTTGAAAAATATGCAACTGAGAAATTAAACTGTGGAAAATTTCTAAATAAAAAAAAAGGAACTTTCTTTCCTCTGATTTTTTTTTTTTTAAATATGTGTTTTTAGTTGAAAAAAGTTATTTTTTAACTTTTTTAAATTGCTTCATATTTAATTTTTCTTTTTTTTATTGGATGTTTGACAAATTGCAATTTTTTTCAACATTTTCTCTGGAGGGAGAAGCAAAGACACTTTTCTATGAGTCTCCTGGACTTTAGCAACAACACATTCATGGTCGGAGCGAAGAAGTTGATCCATAAAACGCAGTTTGAAAAGAATGCAATTTGTTAGACTAACGCTGAACAAAATAACATTTGAAAGAAAAAAAAAACATAAAAAGAAATTGGGAAAAAATATATATTTGGAAAAATAAATTCTGAGAAAACAGCAAAGTTTTTCATTTATTTCATGTCTAAATTGCATTTTTTTATTTCTATTTACATTTTTTGCAACAATAATGGAGCACAACACGACTCCATAGATGGTACAGCAGGGGCCAATGTGCTCTGATGGGTGGCTGAAAACTGATTTCAGTGGAAGAATAGAATAGAATAGAATAGAATAGAATAGAATAGAATAGAAGATCCCTTTATTGTACCACAATGGGAAAATTCTGGTGTTTACTGCAGCAAAAACAATCATAGAAAAAAAGTTTCAAACAAATATGGACCTTAGAAAATTTTATAAAAATAACATAATAGGGAAGAATTAAAAGATAAACAATAAAATACAAAACTGTAAAGTGTTTTAACAATATAAAAACTGCATCTGGAGAATAAATAACCAATATCCAGCTATGGACATTTTTCCAGTAATGGATGTTTGAAAATAGCAGCAACATCAGAGATGTGCAGAATGACAGCAGCAGGTTATTTAGCTGACTAAGGTAGAAACTGTTCAAAATCAGCATGAATGGAAGAACTGGTTGAGGTTATTGGGAACAGTGGTGGTTCTAGAGTCTTCCAGCTGCTGGGAGAAAGGATCTGTGATAACGCTCCCTGGTGCATTTAAGGAGCAGCAGTCTGTCACTGAAGGAGCTGTCCAGTTCAGCACCAGCTTGATGCATTTGGGGGGCATTATCCAACACAGATGTTCATTTAGTTCTTTATAATGCAATATAATATTTTCTGACCATTATTATTACATATAAATAAATGTAATGAATATATTAACATGAAAAACCAAAGGATGTAAAATTGAACTTTGAAGCTGGCTGACAGGGAACTGGAATTCCTTCTCCCGTCTGTAGTAACATGCCTTTGTAAGTATTTTTCACCTGTTAAGATTCTCAAGATAAAACCTAGAGCACGTCTACAAGTAAACAATGAGATTGGTGCTGACAGACATTAGGCCACGCCCCTCCACTGCACACATACTTCAGATGTTTAATTTGCTTTGTTCTGTTCTCATTAGCAGTTGAAACATTCTTTATCAGTGTAAACAATATAGTTTTGAAAAGATTAGCTAATGTTTTATGTCAAAAAAATTAACAGGGATTAAATTAAGAAAACATTTTTACATTTTTGTTGATTTGTCCTGCAAACCCAGATATACATCCAGGTGTCAATAAATAATGTAATTATGGTACTAAAATTACTTATTTCTATCCTGTTTTAAAAAAAAATTATGATTTTTCTCAGAAAATTTGATGCTTTTTACATTTTTTCTGTTAAACTGCTTCTATGATGTCATCACACTCATGGTTAAACCATGTTTATCTGCATTTTAGTTGCTTCTTCCTTTAGATTACTCACTATATACCATAATGTAAAAACAAAAGGAAAAGATAAAACTCAAAAAGACTAGATTTATGTTTAAATTTAAAGCTGAAAAAGTTAGCTCCAGGAAGTAGCGTAGGGTCCCATTTCCTTTACCTATCGGGCAGAGATTAGTCATAAAACAGAAAGGATTTAAATGCATTTATTAGTATTTTTACTGTTTTCAGGGAGGGAACATTTTTATTTAGTTCTTTTTTACAATTGAGGGTGACCTGGATGTATATCTGGTTATGCAAATGAGCTGCAGGTACGGGTCGTGCTGACGGTAGAGATCGGATAGTAACACGGGGCACAGCGCGGAAAAGTTTAGGAACCCCTGAGAGTATCACTGCTGCCACCCTGTGGTGTAGAGTGGAACTGCTGTTTCACAAGGCGGTGTATTGCTGCGTTGGATTTCAGACGCTGAGTCCTCAGAAGGACCCGGTCTACCTGGACTGGGTCCTTCTGACGGCATGAAAATAAGGAAACTAGAAGAGTTCAGCTATAGATTCAAACAGGTCCAGCCTTTTCTGACTGTCAGTGTATGCTCTGTCGCCTAGCAACCGTAGCAGATGACACACAAAGCAGATAAAGAATGGATGCTGAACTTCTCACTACTGTTCTGGGTGCTAATAACATTTCTGAGGAGCTTCAGCTGCAGGACCGTCTTCCCAGATATCAGATTTCTACTCGAAATGGAACTGGTTTCAAAGCCAAATGCAACAGCCGCAGTGTGGGAGTATTTCGGATTCAAACCAAATGACCGAGATGATTTGGTTTTATCTCGTGTTTAGTTTTTATTCAACTGTATTTTTAGTTAACAGAGACTGAGAGTCCATTTGATTTTTATTTCTCGTTTTATTTTGTTAACTAGTTCCAATGTTAAGTGTTCTGTTGAAAATAAAGTGTGTTTATCTTTGGCAGGAAATCGCATGTGGCATTACGTCATTTCCATTAAATCAGTGTAAAAAAGGTCTTCAAACAAAATTATTGTTTATCGCAATAATTTTTGAGACAATTAATCGTTCAGCGAAATTTGTTATTGTGACAGGCCTAAAAACAACTATTTTCAATCCTTTTAGATGGAACTATTCACATCTTTGCATTATATTAAATTGCATTTCCAATATTCCCCACTGTCCGGCGCCATTTGCATTTTTCCTCTCAGCACGGAGCAGCCAGCTTGCTTGGACTTGCAATGAATCATGGGATACCCAAGGCTACAGAGGCTACAGCGGACCCGTCCTTCAAAACGGGCAGAAAGAAGGACGCATTTATCGGCCGCATGATGAGTCTCCCAGTCCGAACAGGCCTGACCAATCTGGCGTTCGGAGGACGCAGCTGGCGATACGAACACAGGAGTTTTGTTCACATTGGAACAACAAATCCCCTGATTGGCCACCCACTAGCTCCGCCCCTCGTCCCTCAATGCCAGGTTCCCTTACTGTCAGGGTGTCTCTCTAACCCCTCATCATTCTCATGTTTCGTTTTAATTTTTTATTCTTACATTTGAGAAAATATTTAAACATTTCTGCAAAGTTTTTTTTTTTCCTTATTTATTCATTTTTTACCAGAATTTTTAAACCAGCTTTTTAAGTTTCAATTAACTTCCTGCCGAATCCTCTTCAATCGAACGCTTCAGTCATTTCCTTTCTAGGGATCAGTGTCCTCCGACACCTCTGCTCCCGGTGAAGCTTTTTGTTACATAACAAACAATTGTGACAAAGTAAAAAAAATAAAAAAATAAATAAAAAAAGTAAAAAGACCTAATGGTACCAAAACAAAATAGTGATGTTAAGTTCACTCAAAA